CCTATCCGGAATCCCTGGAAAATGGATGAGATCTCAAAATTTTGGGGAAGAACTGTGGGGGTCTATCGATGTGCCCCCTGGTCTAGATAGTACTCCTTGTAGGCGTAGTTCGGCAGCGGAGGCAATGGCGCTAGAGGTGCGACATTTTGGTGTCGTCGCTGTTCGGGCGTTGACGTGTACTAACTGTGGTCACATTGCGGGGTGAATTGTCGTCACTTTCGCTGTGTTCATTGCCTTCGCCGAACATTGTGGTCATACCTTACCGTTGTTGCCACAGCATGATCTCGTGATTAGAGTGAGCGTATGGACATCGAGCGGTGTTTTGGGCGGCAGCGAGAATGCAAATGAATCCAGGGTCGTTGTTGTTGTCGACAGTGTGGGAGCCTCGTGATTGCTCACCATATCTAGGAGATACATGTGGCGTGTTGGGTGCGCAGCAGATTCTGATTTTTTTGCCTCACATAGGTAGTACTTGAACGCGTGGTGTGGTGCGGTTGCTGGTTCGAAGGCGGAAGTTGGCGACGTTGCTGTTATTTTTTTTTAGATCCAGCCTTGATCTGCGAGCACTCGCCTTCTCGATGTTCATGGCTGATCAGACCGTTCTTTGCACAGCGGCTGTCTGATCCTGTTGCGGTGGTTTGAGCGCGTCTGCGTCTGTGAGTCTGCACTCGTTGGAGTTTGTTGGAGTTGTTAGAGCGATCAGAGCTGCATGGGCAAGGAATTACGTGTGGAACAGAATTGCTGACCAAGTTGCTTCTAGTCTCATCCCACTGAAGGAGGTAACTAGGGGGAGGGAGAAAAAGAGAGCCTTCTGATTTTTCAATGATGAAGTCTGTATTGTGAAAATCTTGAATCTCGTTGCTCTCGAGAAATTTTATGAGTGGAAATTCTTCGACGACAATGGACAAGGAGAGATAATGGGATAGAGCACCAGTTGAACTCTTTGGAGAGAAGTTTCAACGATCTTCTTACATGAAGTTGAAGACCCGGACAGTCTCGGATGTTGTGTCACACCCTTGGTCTTCTGTAGGTGGGAATTATACGGTTGGAGTAAGGAGAAGGTTTCTTCTCAGTGATTACCATTTGATCACTGCAAGAAGCATAGCGCATTTTGGATGGAGGAACATCTGCGATCAAACGTCCATAGCCTCCAGTAGCCTAAAGGCTGAGCAACTTCATACATTATAGTGCCTGAGCAATTGACTCCCTCAGCGAACGCAAAGAAATTAGACGCATCACTTTTAATCTGCGGCCTTGATTCACAAATTATCGCTAGTTAATTTGGAGCCTGACGTATGTGCACTTGTTTGCCACATTTGTGACATATCCATGTGTTGAACATGTGCTGGGTATGAGCTTCAGTACAGTTTTGTGGAGAAAGGAGGTTCCTCGAAAAATTGTAATGAAGGTGCTAGACTGCGTCAATTGCTTTGATTTCTGCGGATACCATATGGTAGCGTAGTGTTATTGCTACAGGTTAGAGTTTGTGAAAGCGAGAATAATAATTTGAAGGGTCATTCCTCTTTGAGAAACCCAACAACTTTGTTCGAGTATGGAACAAGGCCCACCTTGTCTAGTTGCATCACTCCTAGCTACATTCGGGCACTCCGCAGTACTCTCAAATCTGAGGTTCAAGAGCGGAGTGCAAGAAGCTCCAGTAGGGATCAGCGGTCGTTGGTGGAGGAGAAAAATTTAGAGAATCACAGGAGTCACTGCTGCGGAGGTGAGGAAGCTTGTGGCGATAGCTCATCGGAGGCCACACTGTCTTCCTCTTCGTTAGAATTCCGAGGCTCAGTTAGACAGATGAACTAGGATTAGGGTTGAATTAGGTTGGATGAATAACAAAATTTCGATGAATAATTTAAATTGGACGAAAATTGTTTCGATGAATTCTCATACTTTAATAAAATATTATATTTTGGATGAAAACTTATTCAAGGATGAATTTTAGTTGATGAATGAAAATTAATTAATAAAAAAAGAAAAAAGAAAAAAGAAAGAAATAAATAGATAATTTATTTCTTAATGCATGGATATTGGAGTGACTTACTATTGCAAGTGTGAGTTGTGGTGAAGTTTTTTGCTTGACTATTTGGATGATTTAAGAAGAGTAAAGAGTGAATTGATTAGGATTTAAATAAGAGCTATAAAGTATAAAATTTGCATAGTTAATTCACTTATTGTGAACTAGAATAAACTTCCAATTAGTAGAGGTTTATTTTAGCTCACACTTTTATATTGATAGAAAAGTAATTTTAGTTTTTAAAATAGATTTTTTATTATTTAAAGAATCAAGTTCTTTTACAGTTTATTATTATAAGAAAGAAAAGATATAAAGATGGTTGGAAATTATATGGGAAGTAGAACAAATTACATTTATACGAGAAAGTCATATTTAAAGACCAAGAAGATTAGAAAAGGTTGTAACTTGTAAAAAGAATATATAACCTCTCATAAATATAACTCTCTCTCTCTCTCTCTCTCTCTCTCTATATATATATATATATATATATATATATATATAATTTTTTTTTAACTTTAACAATGTATTATGTTATTTTGGTATATATATATATATATATATATATATATATATTGTACGGCTGCAATATTGGCTTGTAAAGAGATTATTAAACATTAAAAAACTTACCTTAGATGTGATATAAATTCCTAACAGTGCAAAGTTTTTTAAACTACTGCTACAAAAACAATGAACTCCAAAAATGATATTACATATGCAATTGAACAATTCTAAAAATATAAACATACAAAAAGTAACATTAAAGGAAAATCAAGTTATTTGTAAAAAAATTTAAGTATTTATATGTTATAATGTTTTCAATTAAATGAATATGACCAACAATACATTTTATAGTAATATATTTATAGCAAAATTTATATATTTTTCCAAACCTATTAATTTAAATATATAATTGGTCTTTCGCTAATTTATAATATATATATATATATATTTGTGATCAATTAATGTAAGCTACAAAGGTTTGTATTGTGGAACATGAGTTGTATATGCAAAATGAAAGAGAAGATGAAATTAAAAAGTCATTATAATTTCACAATGTTTTTTTACAAATAAAGTTATTTAATTTCAATAAGTAGTTAAAATAAAAAGAATGAAATAGATGATAAATAAGAATATGATTTTGTGTTAAGGTATGTTAAAGTTTATATTTATAGGTTTGAAATATATATATATATATATATATATATATATATTGAATTTTATAAGAAATATGTGCTTTGGATTTTTAAATAATTATATTTTTCTATAAACAATAAGAGACCACAACTTTTAATTCTTACAATTAGTTAGGATTTTTTATTTTATTTTATTTTATTTTCTCTGATAAGCTTTATATTTGGAAAAAACAACCAAAAGGTTTCATTGAGAAAAAATAATTTTGAAAGATATTTTTGATTTTGATTTGTGATTTTAATTTTTTTTCTTCTATAAAACATAAATAGTAGTGTACTTCAAAAATTGCATCATAATCACCTCAAGAGATGCTTTTGTCACAAATATCAATTTTTAAAATATAAACTAGTTTAAATATCTATTCGAATTAATGCAATTTAATATTTTTTTAAATTAAAATTTATCATTCTTTATGATCTAGACATGAATTAAAATATTTACAATTATAATTAAGAAAATGATTTGGTATATGGCATGACCTCTTCTCACTTCATGCTTTCTCTAAAAGTGAATGCTTTCAAACTACAACTTTTCTTCACAAAAGAGAAGACCTTCATCATGCTTTTTGACCATTGCATTTTGAAGTAGGCTTCTGGTTACAAAGACCCCTCAAGGTTAAAATGCTTTACTTTACTAATAAGTATAAAGTTTTTAAAAAATAAAAAATAAAAAATCTATTGATTTGAACAATAATGTTCTTTAAACATATGTAAAGACAAGATAATGCCAGAGAGGTACAAAAATTAACAAAAAAACATAGATTGTCAAAAAGAAACATGTGCTGTTAAATATATATCTCAAACTGATTATTAATGTATTTATGCATAAAAACAATCAAATTTATGTATTCAAACACTATTGGTATCAAACAAAGAATATGACATTGTTCTTGTGGGCTAGAGGAATTAAAATGCCACCATAATTTCTGTTGCCTTTTATATTTAAAGAATTATAAAATGTTAGTACATAAACTGCATGCATATATATATATATATATATATATGCACACATTCAAAACACTGCAATAAACTCAAAACATCCTTTGTCACAATCCTCGAACCAAATGTTTTTTTAAATGTAAATTCTGTCCTTAATTTTCATGTGTTTGTGTGTAAGAATTAGTCAAAATAGATTTAAAATCTATTTTCAGATGTTATCGTGAAAACTGACTCTGAGAATATAGATTAATTTTAGAAGATATGAAGTTAACTTAATGCAATATTTTCTAACTTCATTAATTAACGACATTTAACTTCATTTAATCAGTTAATCTCAAATAAGGTGATTACCTTGTAAGAAACTCTAAATTTTCAAATTCGTATAGTTTTGATTTAAGACTGAAATGATTTCATGGCCATTTTCTCAGTGTTTTTTTAAAAAAAGAAAAGAAATTCATCTGTTGATAAACTCACAACATTTATATATATAAATATATATATATATATATATATATATTAATGTTACGTGGATTTTTTTACATATGTTTTGTTGACAAGCCATTACCACTTCTTGAATTCAAAAAAAGGTAAAAATTAGGAAATTTTATTGTTAAATTTGCATTAGAATTAAATTACTCCTATTTTTACAATAAACTGAAATTATTTGATTGTGATAAAGGAAGATTTATGGTCTATAAATGAAGTGTACCTTGCACGATATCCAACACGGTCTTAGACTATCACGGTTTTAACGCACCGTGGACGGCTCTGGAGGGTTCCGAGAAGCGACCCCTATCACCAGCCAGTGTTGTTGCTCTGTTTCTCCGGCAAGTGTGAATGGGTCGCATTCATTTACGCAGCTTCTTCTTCCTCTCCTCCGCTACAAAGGACTTCACTCTGCGATGCGCAACACAACAGTGTCAACACGTCGACTCCGATCTCATGAATGAAGCCTACCTCATCTTATTTTGCTAATTCCTCTCGGTGGGTTCATGTGCGGGGAGCGGTCAATTGTTTTGTTCTGTTTAGGGGATGGTGGATCGCGCACTTCACCCATCTGCACTGGAACAAGCGGTGGTGAAGGAGTGGATCATGATACTAATTTCGCGTGTAAGAAGTTTTGGGGTCCGTGGAGGAGTTTTCTGGAGCGGATTTCCGATGTTCCGTGCCCTGATGACGTGAAGAATGTATTGTAGTTTGATATGATTGCAGCTGCGCGGTTGCTGAGAAGTTGGGCAAGGTTTTGGTGAACATCAAGTACAGCGGGGGAGTGGAGGCTGTGATTTGGAAGACGATCGAAAAAGTAGAGGAGGATTGATTGCGTCATCGGAGAAATTGGGTCATTTTTATGAGTTGAGAATGATGTTCAATGTGGCTGGCCTATTGGAGGTGGTGGGATGGGCGCTGGATGTGTTTCAAGTCTTGGGACGTAATCCAGAATTTTTTGAACGTAGTGAGGTCGTGGATCTGCTCTGCTGCGTTCCTTATCAGCTTTTGGCTAGAGCGTTCACGTCATTACTGGGTTCTTTGAGATTCAGGCTGGCTACCCACGTCGAATGATTGGTGGATGGCCCTTTCACTTCCATTAGGGTTTAGGGTTGCTGTAGCCCATCAAATTCCTACCCTTTCACTGAAGCCATCAATTGTCCTCACAGAACGGCGAGTTCACCTTATTTTATCTTCATATTCTTGATTTGTTGACACTATCGAAGCCACTGAGCAAGACAATTGTAAGTACAGATTGTGATAATCATATCGTTTCTTTTTGACTTCGTGTACCGATATTGTATTGCACATAGGTCTTTCCAATAGACGAAGGTTTCTGAACACACGTCTGATTGCATTTTGTAATTACAATGCCGTAAAACACCCTGCGATCCGAGAGTTTTTAAGTTGTCCACATAGACGTAGTGGAGATGGGACGTGCTGGCAATACATATAGCAGTGAAAGAGGAAGGACTGGCTCATTTTACGATGGTTATTGTGAGGCATCCCTCATATGTCGAGGCACAGATCACACAGGGCTCAGTCCTCGGTATGACGTTTACGTATTTATGATTCAGGAAAGTCTCTGACTTCCAAGAGGTATGGTTCATTTCAAGGTCCGAAAGGATTTGTATAGATGGCTAATATCTTGGGGAGGACAAGGGCATCACGATTATTTGGTATAATTGCCTTGTGAGGAAGGACATATCAGTGGTGCTGCTAGCGGAACAACATGGGTGGTTGTAAAGAAAGTGAATACATGAATCATGAATGGGTTTACATGAGGCACCCATTACCCGACCTATATTATAGATGTAGTGTAAGTTCAATTCGGGTGGTTTCCAAGATGCGAACATGAAACCTCACAACAATGCTTTGCCAAGTTTCTTCTACCAATTGGAGACTTATTTATGTTAGAGATATCTTTGTGATGAGGCAGTTGCTGACATCATTTTTATGTTTTGTCATTCCGTGTGACGAAGCTTGGTAAGTTTATCGGTGCTTTGAACTTGCTTTTTTCACTTTCAGCGTTCCTGTGATGAATTTAGAGCAGGTTCAGCTTCTTTGGCACATGCAGTATTGAGGAAGGAGCCGGCTGTTTCGTACTTTTCTTCACAGGTTGATGAAAAAATTGGTTTTTGCAGATTCATGATAATGCACGATAAGCTCGTATTGTTAGCATGGCAAGGAGCGGTACATATACTTGAAGCATATATCTTGGTGTCAATGCCTCTATATGGCTTCTCCTGGAAAAAAGTACCAAGTATACCTTAATCTAAGACAACCAGGTTACTTTATGGAGAGTTACAATGTACTGTGGACTGTATCAAAGAAGCGACCTCCAATATTGCTACCAGAACTAGAAAATCCAATTGGTAAGTGTGCCGCTGATTAAGTGTCTGGAGACGCACATGTTGACGACAAAACTTGTGTATTGTTTTTCGGAAGACTGTTCGCAGTCCAGCGATGTTTAAGCAAAATATTGCATACATCCTTTAAATCAAGAATGACGAATTTATTTATCAGAGTTTTTTGAAGTTCCTGCTCCTCGTAAATACTCTTGAGGGACATGACTTCCCACAAACTCTTTTGCATTTATTTGACGTCTTCCAAAACAACTGTGCTGGAACTTAACCGCAAAGTTTCAGAGGTTTCGGCTGAATCATCTCTTTATGAAGCAAGGAAGATCTGGACATTGATAGATTATAATATCATCAGTTCAGATTTGAAAATGGCGTATTGTATCTCCCAACCCTGGACTTCCGGTTCTGGTGGACCTCAAGGTCCGATAAACCTTCTCTTTGTTTGCGTTCGTATTCTTTCTGCTCTACCGACTGTTATTGATCAAAGTCTTAGCGCCTGAATGGGGTTGCCTATGTATACATTTAGTGGTCGTCCCCTACATTGATCACAAGCTTGTGTGTTGCAGCTATCCATCAATTAGGTGCAGTTTATGGAAATTTGCGTGAGTGATTTGTGACTATGTCACAATCCATTTCTTCTATGCTATTGACTCCCACTATCCACGGTGGTCGGATGCTGTATGTTTTCCATCCAAAACCTTGAAGGAGAGGTGGTTAAAATTGACGGGGACCTCTCACAATGGTCCTTTATTGACTCAAGGATATTTTGCAAACCTCTTGAGAATGCTTTGTCTTATGATCGATTACTCTTTGGAAGCGAAACGAAGGTTATAAGTGGAGTTGAAATCACCTGACTGTCTTCATGTGATGATCATGCATTTGTAACTACACTAGAATGCTTCATTATAGTGCATTTGTGTGCGCGCGCTCACTTCAGGTTATGAGGTTTATGTGTAGTATAGGCTGGTCAAGCACTGAGGTATCATCCATAGGACACCTCTTTAGACCTCACTCAACAAATGCGTTACTTCAACCCCGTGCAATTCCAGTTACCGAGAATCTTGAGAACCTCCTTAGCCTACACTACTTACAATTCAGTGCAGGTACCATATATTCGTAACTACTGCTGTGCGCCATAGTGATCAGAGGAGTATCAATTCAGCAACAGGCTTGAAGTTTTATGTTTTGAAAGAGTTCTAAGAAACTAGCATCCATGATCATTTGTTTAATTAGAATCTTGCATGGAACTTTTGAACATGGACAGACGGGGCCTGCGTACTGTCAGTCCCTACAGCCAGTAGCTTTTGGCGTTGCAACACTCTCTTGCTTTTCAGCTGAAATTCACCCTTGATCTCAAGGTTTCTATATGTTGCAACAATATACTGTCATGTTAATTTGTAATGGCGCTGCTTGGACGCCCATGTTTGCCGAATTCGTACTGATACAGTGCACCGTTCACTCACTGGCCCCTGGTAATAACGGTACGCTTTGACACTGCGAGCAGTTTCACTTGCCCGAATCAAATATGTCAGTTAATGCCGCTTCAGCCTCAATCCTTTGAGGAAAGGAGGGCAAAACCCTGTGTACAGCAATAACGAGGCGGCGAGTTAGTTGATATGGCAGACTGTAAAGATTGGCAATTGCCCTTTTGAAATATGAATCTCATTATTTGAGGGGTTGGTACAGTCCAGCACGCGGCCGTGCCTTGACTGAGCATGGGACTTTTGGACTCCTTCTGGAAGTTACAAATAGGCCATTGTAGGCTGTGCATGGCCCTCTAGGGATCGTAATTCCTCTTGAAGTATACGCATATGTCCTCTGATCCAAATCACTGTCAGATTCAAGTGGTCGAGCACGAGTACAGATCCCTTCAGTACAAGAATTCTAGTCCAGATAGTCAAAGGTCTTCATGAAGATCGTAAATGAGCAGTCAATAGTAGAATCAGAGAGCCTGCCTACAGTATTCTCGACTGCTACATACACTCGTGAGAATACTTTATTTTATTCTCGTCATCTCTGTTCAACTACACTTCTTAAATGACTTGGTTTAACGATTTCGAGCTGTACAAGCGTGTCATGAGTGGTAACAATGGATGTCATGTAGCAACTAAGTACCGCCTGCACTTGATGCTGCCATTGGAGTAAGGGCAGGGTGTGTCAATATCGACCCAAGCATACACGAAGACTTCGAATAGTTTTGAGGTTGACATGTACCGATGGTTACCTTGAAAAAGGTCTGTGCGTGACGATCGATCGGAGTCGCACTGCAGTATGAAACTAGCACGTTATTGCAGAATCACAACTCGGTCAACTTGTTTTACTTTCATGAATGTATCGCTGTTGGCCAATTCACTCCTCTACTAGTCAGCAAGATCAAAATCTAGTGCATGGCTAAGAGCTCAAGTGCACACTGAGGAATTCAAACATTCCTTGATGCAAGTATTTTTTTCTGCAGCATTGTACAAGGGGAGGTTATAAACATGCGGGAATTGGGTGTTAAGGTGGATGTCAGAAACTGCCTTGCCGAGAAGGAACCGGCTAAAGCTCTCGATGTTCATGGAAAGGACTCGCATTAATATTTTTGTGGGTGAATTCATGGAGGGGGGCGGGCAGGTCAGGAATTTCTCGATCTGCACAAGCGAGAAGAACCTTCCTCAGTCCTTTTAGCTGCAACAGATCTGATGACATGCAGTGTGCAGGCTAACAAGCAGCGGAGAAGATCAGTGGAAGTGCTTCCAGGGGTTGGGGGCGATTCCTCAAAAGCAGCATTGGGATTGAGTGATCGCAGTACTGCGTAGCGAGGGGATGGTGGTTGGGCGAAGGCCATCTCGTACACATGGCTATGGTTTCTAGGAATTGCACTTCTAGGCACCTTGCCGCTCTGTAAACGCTGCAGGTGTTGACGACGTACCGCCAGAACCTCTCCCCAACTTGGCTCGCTATCCAGCGAGCAACTGCGGCATTAAAACACTATTTATGCCATCCCGGTGGTGTTTCTATCACCTGGTAAGGCAGATCAATGTTGCTAGGAGAATGCTGAGCGGCTCTGCTGCGATCTGCGGCGCGATACAGTGACCTTCGAGTTTTTGCTGCATTGGTGTGTTAGTTGGGGGAATATCATGGCATCCATGTGCCCGTCTGCGGAATGGATACCCCATAGCTCTGGACAGGTGATTGCATTCTTTTCTTCCTGCTGTAGGCTTATGCATGATGTGTCAAGGTAATGCTTGCGTGAACACATTCTCTCGACATTTGAGAGTCTTGAGCTCAGAGCGACTCTGCACTTTGTCCGGGGATTGGTGTAGAGTTGAACTATTCTTTGCATTATTTTTTCTTTCCTTCTCTTCCTTCAACGGCATTAAACATTGTTTTTGAGCAGTATTCTATTTTTTGGTCTTCTTCCTGTGGAGCAGGTGCAGCGACTGCCAAGTCACGAAGCAGAGAGGTTTGTGGAGCCAAGCAAGCTCTCCACCGCAACCACCTACATTGCCACAGCAGATGGCTCCTTGGATTTTAGAGGAAGACCCGCCAGCAGGGTCACAACAGGAGGATGGAAGACCTCTCCGGCTCTGTTCGGTGAGTTCACGTGACTACACTGACATGACTGGTCACGCAAATGCAAATTCGGCTTCATGGTTGCCATCGCGCGGTGTCGCACATTGAACTCTGTTTTGGAGAATGTTGATGATGATGCAATCGTTTCATCTCACTCCGCATCGTCGTCGATGAATGGATGATCATGCAGGAGCTGCAATGTTTGAGGCGGTAGTGAACTTGAGCATCGCATTCAACTTGAACCTATACTTGTTGGGTCCTATGCATCTGCACCCAATCCATGCCGCCACAGCGTTGTCCAACTACTGGGGCGCTTCGTATCTTACGTCGCTGCTCGGCGGTTTTATGTCCAGTGCATTCCTCGGAAATTACTGGACCATCATCGTCGCCATGCTCATCGAGCTTGTGGTATGCACTCCCGAAAATCAACTCTCTATTACATTTGCTTCAACTCTCAGTTCCTGGAACCAACAATGCTGCGGTGCAGAAATCCCTCTTGTTGACAGGACCTGCGTGCGTGCATGCACACGCCATTTCAATTACTATGTGCAGGGAGTTGCATTGTTAATCATATCATCTGCAATCGCACCGCTCATGCCCGAATGCGTCAAGAACAAGCTCAGTCGGGGACCATGCTTGCCCGCAAATGCAACCCAGTATGGAGTGTGTATGTTCTCTGTGTACCTGATTGCAGTGGGTGCGGGCTGCATCCGGCCATGTCTGTCAGCCTTCGGAGGAGATCAATTCGACCAGGAAGATGCGGCGGAGAGAGAAAAGACGCCGAGATTCTTTAACTGGCTGGTAGTGTCGATGACTTGCGGCGGAGTCCTCGCAACAACCCTCGTAGTGCACCTCGGAGAGAATGTGTCGTGGACGTGGTCCTTCATTTCGATCGGCTTGGCCATGATGATGGCCACATTGTTCTTTCTAGCGGGCACTGGTCGGTACCGACACCAGAAAGCAGCAGGAAGTCCATTGACGCGCATCTTCCAAGTGTTTGTAGCGGCCTTTAGGAACGGGAGAGTCACATTGCCGACAGATGCCTCCGAGTTGCACGAAATCAATGACGCGGAGTCAATGTTGCCAGAGGTGCAAGATGGCAAACCCTACTACTTGCTGCGCCACACAAAGGGCATGCGGTATGATTCACTATTTGATCACTGACCCCCTCATCGTCTTCATCTTCATCACAACTCGCTTGAATGTTGATCTTACAAATCGAATATCCTGACATCCCATATATTTTTTCTGAAGGTTTTTCGACAGAGCTGCTGTTGCGGATGCCTCTGGCGCCAATCTCGCAGCTAAAGCAAGTCCATGGCGACTCTGCACCGTGACCCAGGTGGAGGAAGTGAAGGGCCTCCTCCGTTGCATGCCTGTGGCAATGGGTCCCATGCTGCTGTACATGGTGCTAGCACAGGTTCAAACGTGGACGACGCAACAAGGGTACTCCATGGACAGACGCATTGGAACGCACTATCTCATTCCCCCTGCTACGCTAACCGCCATCGCCATTGGCGTCGTGATCTTGGAGATCGTAGCTTACGATTACCTCCTTGTGGGTGTGCTGCGCCGCTACACAGGGTGTCCGCAAGGGTTGTCTCACTGCCAGCGCATTGGAGTTGGCCTTGCGATGTCAGTCGTGGGACTCGCGTACGCCGCGCTGCTGGAATCCATCCGTCTCGACGTCGCAAGGTCGCACTATCTCGTAAACCACGACTCTTCCTCAGCTGCCATCGTCCCCTTGAGCGTCTTCTGGCAGCTACCCATCTTGGTGATCATGGGCACCGCCATCTTCTTCGCCCACGCGGGGCTGTTCGAGTTTTTCTACTACGAGTCACCCGTCCGCATGCGCAGCCTGGGCACCGCCCTCTCCATGCTCCCTATCGCCGGCGGGCTCTTCCAGAACGGCGGCTTCATGGTGGGTGTCAACGCCCTCACGAAGAAGCTCGCAGGCAAAGGCTGGCTCGAATCCTCCAACCTCAACCTCAACCATCTCAATTACTTCTACTTGCTCATGGCTGCCATGAGCCTCGTCAACTTCGTCATTCACTTGATCACCACTCACTTCTACCAACACAAACAGTACATCAACATCGCCACCATCCACACAAAGTTGTCGCAGCATCGCGTGAGCCAGGATCCCTCGCAAACACACGCAAACCCCTCGCAATCTTCTTCGTTGCCAGCCGAAGTCAGGTTGCAAGCATCGTTGCAGCTCTGAAATTCATGCTTCAACCAATTGTGACACACGATTTTTTGAGAGTTTTTGCGGAGATCTATCTGTGCTGCTTAATTCGCTGCCTCAGCTCTTCAGAACCAACGCCGCTCTTTCCCATGCCCACCCATTTGATGTGCACTGCAGCCCGGGGCTTACGCTTGTTTGTCTGTATATACCTTCAACCGAACCTTCCACAGCAATAAAAAAAATTTAATATTAATAAAAGAGAGTAAATTTCCCATCTCAAATCATTTCTGCTCTTCACACATTCTCTTCACGAGTGATACTTTTAAGAATCACTGCAAAAGGATTCCTCAGATTTGCTTGTCAAGTTGAATTGTCAGACTTTCTGGCATATTATGCTCGTCTCAGAGTGAGCCAGATTCTTTTGGTTAAACATTTTAAACTCATCTTTGATGATTGAAAAAGCTTACATCTTTGATTCATTTTTATATAGTTTTTTGTTCAAACTTGACATTATTGTCAATTGAATTGGTAAGTTTTACATTTTTGACTCATCTTATTATACATATATCTTCTAGATTGACATTATTATCAAATGAATTCAAAAATTTACATCTTGAATTCATTTTACTATAAATTTATATTGAAGTTTGATATCATTGCCAAATAAATTAAGAAACCTTTTATTTTTGACTTATTTTAATATGGACATATACTTAAATTTGATGTTGTTATTTAATGAATTAAAGAAATTTCTATCTTTAACTCATCTTAATATTCAATAATGTCAAAAGTTGCCGATATTGCCAAATGAATTCAAAAATTTTACATTATTCACCTAATGCAAATAATTGCTCATGTTCAACATGATTGCTAAATAGATTGAGATACCTTACATCACTGATGTTTTTTTTAGTACAAATAAGTCTTTAAGTTTGATATTATTAGCAAATAATTAAAAAAATCTTACATCTTTCGTACATCTTGGTTTGTGTTGAAGTTCAACATTATTACTAGTTGAGTTAAAAAAAATTATATTTTTTACTTATCTTAGTATATATTTTTGTTAAATCTTATTATTTTTATCAATTAAATTATAAATTATTATACTTTTGATTTACTTAAATAAGTATAGATGCTTGAACTTTGGATCTTACTAAATAATTTAAAAAACTTTACATCTATACTTTATTTTTAATTTAGGTTTTTGTATAAACTTAAAATTATTGTCAAAAAAATTAAATAATAAAATATTAAAAAATAGATACTTATTTTAATACTAAATTATTTTCTAAAGTTAAAATTATTGAAAACTATGTGTGCACTACATAATTAGCTTGTATTACAAGCTATCAACACATTCAATATGTGGCTAATTTGTTGACAAAGTTTCTAATCCACCAATTAACTACAAATACGTATAAAGTCAAAGCCATGTCTAAGAAGCTTTTCTATTAGATATTATCAAATTAATTATTTAAATCTACTTCTACTTATTCATGTTATCTAAGTAACTATTAGAATAAATATGTATGTGTATGATATTACCCCCCTTTTGAGAAACAAGTTTTATGAAGAGTGGTGATTTTATGATGATGAAATCTAAGATGCAACAAATTGTATTTGCCACCTATTTTGATCTTTGATGCTTTTAAAGAGATTTGATAGATCCTCTTAGCCATCAATAATGTCTCATTTCAAGGCAAGAAGACCACTCCATTATTTGATCATTGTTAAGGCCTTTGTAACTAATTTCAAATAAAACATTTGTAATATCATTAGGAGTAATTTTTACTTCTAATAAAATCACCAAACATTAAGAATCTCTTCCAAGGTTGTGATATCAAACATATTGTATTTTTCCATCTATTTGAAAAAAACATATCATTCTTAAGGATCTTCATTTTTATTAGGTCATCTTTAAGGCTGTGATAATTACAATGTTTTGTTTGATAAGTTAGCAAATAATAGCTCTTGAGTTGAATTTGATGATTGTTGGTTTTCCATCTTCTTAGTACCACAAATACATAGAAACTATAAATAAAGATAGAAAGTAAAAAATAATCTTTTTTAGATCTTATTTTTTTATAGCAAAGATTTTATGTTCTTTATCATGGTTTTGATGGATGTTAATAAAAAGCATCAATCTTCTTTGGTGTATTTACAAAATTATTGACAAAATTTCATATGCGTTCACTAATATCATATCTATAGTAATGAATAAGATATTTGACTCTATTTTGGCGCCTCCTTGAGTCTAAGACTTCTTCTACCTTGAATTCTTGATTATTATCTACTTCTATAAGAGGATGTGGCATTTGTCTTTATTTCAAGATATTCATTGTTTTATATGATTCAAAAAGATACATGTAGAATACAAGATGGATTTTCATAGACTTTGATAGATGCAATCAATAAGAAATTAGATTGATTTTTTTACAAATATGAAATAGTCCAAGCCTATAATAATCTAATTTGTCACAAGACAACTAATCTTGATATCTTGTTGCTAACATGGAATTGAAGTTGTTTCATACAATAGGAATTTATGTTGGTCTTTTGTTGTTCTTGAACTTCTTCTAATTGTTCTTTTATTGTTATATATAACTTAGATAAATGATTTACTAAATCTTATGTCTCAAGATTATCAACTTTTAAGAAGTCAAAAGCATCAAGTTATAGATGATAACCATAATTAGCAAAAAAAGGTGTTTATTACATAAAAAAATATATTATATTATTTTAGGTAAATTCTACCAATAATAAAATAATTATACAATCATCTTGTTGGTAATTGATGGTACATCTTAAATATTCTTTCAAAACTTAGTTTATGCATTCCATTTGTCTATTGATTTGAGGATGAAAAGTCAAAGATAGTTTTATGTCCATCTTTAAATTCTTAAGAATTCTTCAAAATCTTCATATAAATTAAGTCTCTTTATTTGATATAATATCTTGAGACAATTGATGATAGCAATAGATGTTAAAAAAGACTTAATTGTTTCTTCACCTAAGATAAATTTTACACATAGTACAAAATGTGCTATCTTCGATAAATGATCTACTATCATGAATATAGAATCATAAGAACCTAACACTAGAAGATGCATGATAAAATCCATAGAAATAGAAATCCATGGTTGTTCAAGAAGTCTATAAGATCAACGATGATGAATTTTTTTTATCTTGAACAAATATCACATGATTGTATAAAGTCTTTGAAATCCTTCCACATTTGAGGCTATCAAAAATCTCTAGATATTAGCTCTAAAGTCTTATTATTTTCAAAAAAATCAACTATTGAAAATCATGATGAGCTTGAAGAATACATAATCATGCTTAACTTTCTAGAATATATAATTGCTTCTAGAAATATAATAGATTATTTTAAAACTCAAATTTAGAAGTATTATGAAAATTAAATAAATTATATCAATAATTTTTACACTTCCATAGAAGAAAATTCCTTAGCATAGATTTTATTTTTTATAATTTTAGATTGTCTAGTAATTGTAGGCTTTAAGACTTTAGGTAATTTTTCTAAATTCCTAACATTAGCCATTGCTTCTTTCATGGCTTCATTTAAGTTTGAGAAGTGAAAAAAATGCATTAAATTATTTTCATTGTAAATTGACATAAGAAAGACAAGACTAGTATATCTAGACTTTGTCATAATTGCCAAGATTGGTATGTAAGAAATTTCTTTATTCTTATCAAAGATTGCTTTAAAAAAAATATAGTTAGTATAAAAAGATGATGGTTGATTTCTTATGAATTAAAAGTCTTATTCTTTCATTGGTATTTCTAAATACCTCACATCTTGTAAACCTTAGTCGTCATTCTATTAACTATATTAGAACTAATCAATATTTTGAAGGATGTATTTTCTTATAAGTCACCAAATAAATTTATAAGTTGTTTTAGATTAAAAGAATATAATTAGAATGTGAAGTATAATTAATAGGTGAAAGATTAGATAAAAAAATATAGATATAAGAAAAATAGAGTTAATAAAATAATTATAATTAATATAAAAAATCTAATTTAAATTCTCAAGTAGGAAGAATTTTAGAAAGTATCAAATTAGAATCTTATAGTATCTTAAAGCAATTAAGAGAAATCTAAATCTTTCAAGATTTTAATATTATATGGCTATATATGATCCAAATATGATCTATATAAGATCTATATATAATTTAGATATGGTAGTAGATACAATATAAAATATAATATCTTATATAATTGAAATATTGTCAAAATATGTCATCATATATAGTCAAAATACAATTGGAAGATAGTTGAAATATAATATATGGATATAGTATCAGATATTAGGTATGGTGCCATATGGATATCAAGTGCAATAGTATCATTATCCGATTATGAAATTATAGTAGTGTCTTGTGATATCGTGCTCCTAGTTTTGATTTTGCAACAATAATAGAATGACATGATTTAAATTGTATGGAGGTCTTTCCAAGTAGATAGGATAATAGTATCACTATTAGGTAATTAATCTTGGTTGTCAATATTTCCTACTTGACTTAGTGCTACAAATGAAACTTCATAGTTGACCTTAATTGTTGTCATTCCTCCTTCAAAAATCCAAGCTTTAGTGAATCAAAAGTTCGACAAGGCAAAGATTGTTGATTGATTATAGAAATTATGCAAAGATAATAAAAAAATATCCAACAATCACATAATGCAAGGATTTTTGAATTTTGGTAGTTGAAGAAGTGCTATTTGTGGTCTTTGGTTCTTTTTGTTTTTTCTTTTCTTGCAACTCTCTCATTAGAACTATCAACATCAGCTATTGTTTGGGCTGCATTATTTTGCTAGGCATTGAATTGATTGTCAACAATATTGGATCCTTGAATTACTTAGTTGTGGAGAAATAATCAAGGACCATCTTAGTGAAGTGATCAGCTAGTGTTGCATGGCTCACAATAGAAGTTGTGGCACCACTAATATAAATTTGTGCACATATTGATCAAATAACAACATTGTATTTAAGGGATATTACGGATAGGACAAAAATTGATTGCTTCTTTGAGATAATTATATGGAAGATGTTGCGTAGATAGATATAGTGGATAAAATCTAGTAGCTCAATTGGTTGCAAATTGTTGCAATGTCTTTTTTTAAGTAATTAGGATCCAATTGTAATTTCTCATGAGTCATGGCCTTTGATAAATTGGTTCAGCACAAAGCCAACTTTGGAATTGAAATCAAGTCCAATTACAAGCTAAAGAGCATGTTCAATATAATCAAAAGAAGGAGTAAG